GTTCTACGTGATTAGGGTTAGAGTTGAAAATGCGTAGCGTAATTGTGCCATTTAAACCAGGACATGACAATGTTTTGCCTATAACGACACCTGATGGTAAATTGACTGTAGGGTCGTCGCATGTTAGAAATTCCCAGTTGGGAGGATAAGAAGATCTTATAGTGCCTTGTACAACAGTATCAGAAAGCGGTTTAAGAAGTGTTTTGCAAGATAGGTAAACAGGTTCGGTGAGCACGAGATCACTGCTAGGATCTACCATTGGTACTGCACATTTTTCAAAAACAACCTGTTTGTTTTTATAGTTTATTGTTACGCTTGTAGATAACTTTGTTATCGAGTCATTACCCAAAAGTAAATCAGTTGAGCAATGCGCATTACTGACTACAAATGGTGTGACTGTAATGACAATGTTATCTACAGAAAGAGTGGCTGTGATTTGGCCTAATAGCTGAATAGGAGTACCATTTGCTGCTACAGCTTCTTTCAAAGAGGACTTAGTGAAAGGAATGTTAAGTTTTTGAACAAACCTATCTGAGATTAAACTAATAGCTGAACCAGTGTCAAAAAGGGCAGTTGTACTGAAGTTATTGATTTTTAGCGGAATAAATATGGTGTTGCTTTGACCGAGTTGGATAGACATTACGATAGGATTGAAATCATGAAAATTGGTAACAGGCACGTTGAGATCGGCTTTTGTGCTAAACGATGTCTCAACTTGTTTTTCGTCCTGTAAATTTGGATAGACTGGATCGCGCGTTTGAGACTGATTGTCTTGAAATGTAACAAAGCTATGACTTTCTTGAAAATGCGGAGCAGATGCCTCAACATTATGCTCTATTTCCGCAGTTTTCTTGTGAAACAACGGAAATAGAACTTGAAACATTTTGAAGAGAACTTTCAAGAAAGTACGCGCTAATTTGACGTGATAAAAGATAAGAGCTATCAAAAATAGAACTACTGCAATGATAATTGCTCTAACAGCATAAATTACCAGAGTATGTTTTTCTATAGACCGTAAAATTATTGATTTTTGCGATTGTAGAATTTGTAAAGCATTGGTTTCAAGAAAATTAGCAGTTTCCATAACTTCATTCTGTAGTTGCTCAGGAAATGTGTTCAGATTTGGATCGTGAACCTGCGAAGCATCTAAGTTTGACTTTATGGTTGCTGTATTAATGCGATTCTTGATGAATTTTACCTCCGTGTTTATTTTGTTTGGCTAGGTCCGAATGGAAAATAGGTGGAGAATTGAAAACTATGTTTTGATTTGCGAAATTTTGTGGTAAATTTATATTTACGTGAGAAACGTGGACATAACCATTAGATGACTTAAAATGATTTGTGCCATCATTGTAAACCCCTAATGGTAAATGACCACAGTCAGCAAAAGAAGATGTGGTTTTGAGATCACGTGTGCCACGTTGGACGAAAAATAAAGTTTTCCCAACACGTACCGGAGTATCTACATAGCAATTGCTATCCACTTTATGGTGCGGATAGATCTCATCAATTTGAATAGTTTTACATTTAGAAATCATCAAAATATCCCCAGCAGAAATAGCGAAAATATCGTCTCTGCTGAGTAACATCCTAGCAGCACTTGTAGGATCGCTTTTAGCAATACTTTTGATAGTCAAAATCTTGAAATTGTTCAAGACGCAAATTCGCTCAAACATGATGGAAAAGTCGCGCTGAATCACCTCGTCAAGCTTGAATTTAAGGTACTGGAACTTGGTATTTAATTCAGACGGCTGCGCTGAGAATATTGGAGGTGAATTCAATGCAATATGCTCTGCGACTATAGCAGAAATGTTAATTGACCTGTGCGCGGGTTTTGAGTTATCGCTAGATCGTTTTCCTCTGATCAGCGGTTTTACTTGGTTGATTTGAAGCGGTTTTGATTTCAAAAGTATTGATGAAAGAATAGTGGCATTGCTAGAAGTTGGAAAAGTATTGCCATGTGATGCATAAGGACTGCGAATTTTATGAGTGTAGGTAGTGTCTACATCGTAAATTGGAAAGCTTTTGGAGAAGTTGGAGTGTTTTTCGTTGATTTCTCGCACCAGAGTTATGTTACTATCAAAAATTGTGCGAGGATCTTCTCCCAAAAGTTCTGGAAGCAATATGAATACGCCATTGTCCATTGGAATAGCGTTTTAAGACAAACACCACTTTGTAAGTTGTGATTTTTGAATGAAAACGCTCTTGTATGTGAATGCGGATTGTATTGCTTCAAGAAGAATGTGATTTGGTGTGACATAGGCAATACTGTCAATAGCTTTTACAAATATACAAGCAATTTGAGCATCTTTTGACTTCCAAACTACGGTACCATGCGACAGTTGACAGTAGTCGTGGCTAAGTGTGCAATTTGCCATGTCGCCAAACTGTCCTAGCAATTGGTCACCATCAAAAGTAGCAATTTCGCCTTCTTCTACATAAATATTTGTGGTGACTGTGCATTTTTGACCAAATAACCAGGGATAAGAATAATGAATAGGACGCTGCGAACCGAATACTTTAGGCGAAAATATGTGTAACGGTTCACCAAGGTACTTTTTAGACTTTGCAATATTATGGCAGAGAATTGGGTCTATGGGAGACATAAATTCCTCATCGCTGTTTAGCGAGAAAGAAATGTGTAGATAAGATGAGGCGCAAACTTTCCTAGTTTTATTAAAACAATGAAATGCACTTAGCGTAGTTGGTTCTGTTTTTTCTACAAAAACAGAAGCCATTGTTAACAATACGTTAGTTAAATTGGTTGGTTGCGCGCAAGAAATAGTTTCAGGATAGGCTATAGGCCATCCTGATTTACCAGATGAACATAATTGATAGTCCATTGAGAATGCGGAGGAAGTAGGCAAAATCAGCGCGATTATTGCGACAAGAAATAGTGAGTTTACAGAATTAGTGACACCAGTGGAAAAATTGGCTGCTATGGAGTTAACCGTATGTGAATTACCCCTTCGAGAGAATTTCGGTTGTTATTACGGTTGCGATTTGGTGAACGAGAGCTATTGCGAAAATTTTGGTTGGAATTAAATTGATTGCGAGAACTGTTAGTGTTGCGAAAACGATTGGAATTATCCTGATTTCTTCTCGAAGACATATTTCTGTTACGCGGAGGAGATCTAGATTGGTAATTATTGCTACTAGATTGCCACTGTTGGTAATTGGGCTCCGGCGCAAACCTTACATGCCTAGGGCGATTACGGTTATTATTGTTATTGTTATAGCGTGGTGGCGAGCGCGATTGGTTACGGTAATTAGAGTTATTGTAGCGCGATGGAGAGCGCGACTGGTTACGGTAATTATAATTATTGTGTGATGAGCGCGGCGGAGAATGTTGGCGGGTGTTATAGTTAGAGCGGTTTTGATTTGGGTGGTAAGTCCTATTAACTTGAGGAAACGGATTCTCAAGCTGGTTGAGAATCCTGTCCATTTTTGAATTAAAAAGAGAAGGGTCAAAAGCCACTTCTTCGGTTTTAATTAGTTCCCAAATTCGCTCAGCATCTTTGACTAACTCACTAAAGTTTGGGTTGAGCGGACCCAGAAGTTTTAGCTTTTGTTTTATGTTGTGAGAGAGACCGTTGTTAAAAATCATGGTCTTCAAAAATTCGCGCTCAACTTTAAAAGTGTCGCCTGGATAAGCGTCCGCAATCTCACTTTTCAGCCTACTTGCGAACATGAACGGCGACTCGTTAGGGCGCATTGATATTTGCATCAATTTCTCACGCGCCATGTTTTGGTACTGGTCGTTGTAAAAATGTTCCGTCAGTTTAGCGGTTGCGGAACGCCAATTTAGTTTGACGGATTTCTCAAAAGTATCAAAAACTGCCTTAGCTGTGCCCGTTAGATGCGCTGGTAACAGCTTAGCCATCTTATCCTCGCTTAGATTCATTATGTTCCCAATTTCGTTGAATACATTGATAAATTGGTCTAGGCCCTTTGCGCCAAGATCACCAGAAAAGGTTGGCTGTTCACCAGAAAAGGTTGGTTGCTTTTGTGCAGATGGTAGACGCCAAACAATTGCTTCTATCACAACTATGGGTCAAACACTAAAATATGCCAGTAAAATATGAGCAGGCAAGGAGAGACCTATGCAGTAAAGATTGGCATGAGTCTACGCAGACGAAAATTTTCCTCCATTTTTGATTGCCCGCTTCTTATTATTAGAGAGGATAGAACATATATAAAAATAATGCAATCTGTTGCTGAGATCACGACTTTTTTTGCGCGGTCCGGATAAGACTCACTCGTACAGCTCAGACACTCGTGGTTGACTCGCGCGCAAAGTTATGTAGCGACAGAATGACTGCGGGACTTAATTAAAACAGTCGCCAGAATTTCGGGACACCGGCGTAGTGATCGGGAGATTGCTGCACGAGACAAGTTATTCCCCCGCACTCACGCAGACCGGGAGAAAAACTGAGCTTTAGCGCAAGACCCGGTAATGTTGAGAATTCAATTACGGCGCAACTTGCGCTCATGTTGTCCTCTTAGTTATTTTTTGAAATGCATTAAATACCCATGTTTTCAAGTTTATTCTCTTATCAGTACTCAAATAGATGTTTAATGAGAACTTCTCATAACAAATGCACGCACAAAATAAGTGAATTTAGATCTTGAAGTTAGAGTGCATACAAATCAAAGCAAGAGCACCATATTAAATGGAATGGGAGTATAATAGTGGCTAAGTGAATTGAGAGGCCGTATTCATCATTTATACCTTGAGGTAAATCGTACTTCCAGGTAGTTTTATCAGTCATTATCAGTGATAAAACTTATGATAATGAGTGATTAGACTACCTGGAAGTAGGATTTACCTCAAGGTATGAATAATGAATACGGCCTCAGATCTTCAAGTTATAGGAATGTAAACAAATAAGCGAGAGCATCATAAGTGGAATGAGATATAAAAATGGAAATTCTTCTAATTAGTGCGGTGATAATGAGAACATGTTGGAACAAACAAAAGTAATAGTAATGCTTATGTGTGATAGAATTGCTTCAAAGTGTTTCGAGTTCATAGTCTTTGTCCTCATCCCTGACCTGGACCGGATCGGTGGCCACTGCAACTGTACAAGTGCGTTTTTTCTGAAATAAAGATGCCATTTTAAGGCTGATGTGCATAGAAAGGATGTATATATTACCGATGGGGGAACGAGTTCGTTCTTTTCCGGCTTGAACGAATAAGCGCGCAGGTCTCCCCTGAATTGAAGATATATATATATTTATTGGAAGGGTACATGAAAGCCTACAATGCTCTTGTAAGTGCTGAACGAATATTTCCGCTCCAAGTAAATCTGGCTTCCACCATGCTATCAAATCTCTTCGCGCGTTGTTGATCGTTCTCTCCTAGCGTATGCCAGTAACTGAAAGCACGAGAAATCAGAGAGCTCTAAAAAAATCTTTGGTTATACCCATTAGCTTGTCTTGCGCATTCAGCGGCACTTAGAAGAAGCTCATCCGCGAATAAGCCAAAAGCGTCTAATATGAAGTCTAAAAAACCAGTTTTAGTACACTCTACTAGGGGAGTGATTACTTACTTGTTAGGAAGACTACCATGGTTTCTGGGAAGTCAAAGAGATGAGGATATCGACCTTTCTTCCCAGACTGGCGCAAAGCGAAACGTTGTATTTCACGGGTTGGCTCGCAAGCCTGTGTTTGATTTTCTTAGAAGAATGGACCAAACAAACAGCGCGACTTACATAAAGAAGATAAAATCTCAGAAACTCCAGCACCGTCAAAAAAGGGTCACCGCGATTGGCGCGAGCAGAGGGACTCCAACTTTCAAAAATTTGAATCATATTTACTTCCTAAAAACCAATGGAAGGTGCCAGGTCCTTGGAAGGTGGAAGGAAGGTCCTTTATGAACGAAAACTTGCCTAAAAACCAAAGAATAAGCAAAGAAAATCTCTGTGAAGCCCTCGCCGAACCTCGCAATGACAACAGTTGACGCATAAGCGTTGTCGCGTCAGCAGGGACACTATATTGAGAAGGAAATCTACTCGACTGCAAGCAACTGTCCGCGCGCGCTTTCTCTCATCCCCGTATTCAAAAAGAAAAGTTGGGCCCGTCGAAACGCAACCTAGAAGCAATTTGCAAAGGAAAAAAAACTAGTTGAATATGTAATTTGTCAAATTTGACAGATCAAACCATCATAATTACGGTACGCAAACGCAGTACTCCTATTATTTACAGATAATAGTAAGTGTTAGTGAGAAAATTATAGCGCGCAGCCCAGTGCACATGTGATGATGTCCATAATTGGGTTCTACTTAACTAACTGGACTGAAGATAGAGAGTGCGACCAGAGAGCAGAGTAATTGAAAGTCTTTGCGCAGGAGCAGGCAGGAGTGGAGCAGGCCTGAGTCAAAAACCTATGGCAGTTCGTTGTTTTTTATGCAAGCAGGAACGAGACTGTTACAAACAATGGCTTGCATTCATTTTACTTATGTTTCGACTTCCTGCTTACGCCAGAGTGATAGATAATAATGCAATCAAAAAAGGTTTGTAATGATCGCGCGTATAGTGAACAGAAACTCAAAATATGTGAAAATTTCTCGCAAGCTGAACCTGCAAGGGTGCTTCCAAAAGTTTTTCAGTTAGGCAAGATCAGCTAGCTAAAATGATATTTAGCGAATGTGATAAGATCGCATATAAGAACAGGCTCTAAATGCATTTTCTTCTATGAAAATTATACAATTCAGCATAGGGACGCACAATGGACAGGTGATAGAGAATAGGCAACAAAGAGCAAAAAAAGAAGTTATAGAGAAGAAAAATCGAATTAATGCTGAGAGTTTCGCATTGTGATGAGAGATACTACAAAAAAGTCTTGCTATATTCAAAACGAACCCACCTGACCTGACTACTGAAGAGCCAAGTCGGACGTGAGAGTGCGTCTGAGCTGTCTCTGAGATGAGACGAGAGACTCAGTGGTGATTGGGATGAACCCGACGAGTTGCTGTTCATTGCAGTCGACGATCTTGAGGGACTATCGAACCAGGGCGAACTCTGTTGCTTGCCTCCCAACGGGTCAAGCATACGAATTGCTACCTGAATAGAGGGTTTGAACGTCATACACTCCCTAACGAGATGATGAAGAAATGCGAACGAACACTGAGAAGAACTGAAAAATGCTGTAACGAAGAAGAAACTCTTATCGAACACTCAAATCAAGAATGTCAATCGTAAAGGTGGGACAAAAAAGAGTCCTGACCGTTAACCCCTCAATGCGTAACAAAAAACAAAAAACAGCGACACTTAAGACAGAATGAAATCAAATTCTCATTGAACCAGCAAAGCATTAGACTACTTCAATAAGACAGATTTGAACAACACATATCAAAAACTAGATTCACCGGAAGAGTCAGCCCGCTCCACCATTAACACAACGGCTCAACTTCTTTTTTGAATTTAGACGCCTAGGGCGAAGCATGCGTGATTACAGACAAGACCATTTAGACGACTAATCGCGACCAAGACCATTTTCGGGAGTCGCGACGGGTGTTATGAATTTCTCCCGCCTCCTTTTTAGTTTCGGGATTAGCCCGAACGTCGCAACAAAAGCGCGTATGCCGCAGCAGTACTCATTTTTCCGCGCTACCCCGTTTTGTGGGCGGATCCACTGCGCGTGTTAGCCACGAGTGTCTGAGAGGGTAGGGGACTATATGTCGCCGAAAAGGGGCGGTCCTTTGCGACAAATGCGCGCCCTTGTAGATACATGCGCGGACATGAGCTCCTGCAGGGAATCCGCGCGGGACTCTTCCAAATTCGGCGACATATAGTCCTCCACCCACTCGTACACCAAGAAAACAAGGATTTATGGTTGGACAGGTTGGACAGATAGGATGTCAGTATGGCAAATTAGAGCCAGTGACTCTGTCCACTCACATGCTTGTCCAGTCACGGGAAATATGGCATTAGCGGGATTCCAAATTTGTCAATGAGTTCATCAGCTTCAGTCTGAGGCAGAGTTCTGGCAGTAATACCAATCCAAAACTATTGATTTACATGTCGCTAAATGTGGTTTTGAGACGCTACCTTCCTATCAATGAGAGTATCGCATTCACTAAGTCACAGTAATCTCGCTATATCCGCTAGAATATTCAAGAAATTTTCGCAACAGACATCGCAACAAGGATGAACATCTACGATTTGTAGGCTTCACAATTCACGCTCATTGTCTGAGGATGACTAGTAAAGCGATGTGGAAATGTAGAGTTGCTATGCTGTTTAGTCTGTTCTCCCTGGTAGGATCACATGTTGTGCAGCCTCCTTTCCCGCACAAGTCTTGAATGGTGGAGTTTTATATAGCAATGTGCAAGCATTCCGCCTCTACGAGACTGGCGCTTTTCTAAAATCCAGGCCTCAAATTTCAAAGCTGTGATTTTTGCTGGAACACAATAGATGGGCATTCTACCACACGTTATTTACGGAATTTTTCCGACAACTTATTTTTTCTTGCATTGTGTGTCGGGGTCAAAACCACTGATTTGGCTTGGGTTGGTCTAAAAGAGTTATCTGGTATGCTAGATACAAACAGCATACTTATTTTTGCATAATGAGGCTTCTTCGTGGAGTTCTGCTTAGACAATCGCAGGCTCTCAGCCGGCAGCCACAAAGCCACCGCGAAAACCCACCAAAAGCGCGGTGGCCTCATCGCCTCACTGTCGCTTCCCGCTGAGAACCGTGTCAGAACTGGCAGCGAGCGGGCTGCTATAAAGCCTTCAGCGCAAAGCGAAACCGCCGCTTTCGCTTCGCGCTGAAGACTTCATAGCAGCCCGCTCGCTGCCAGTTCTCAGCGGGAAGCGACAGTGAGGCGATGAGGCCACCGCGCTTTTGTTGGGTTTTCGCGGTGGCTTTGTGGCTGCCGGCTGAGAGCCTGTGATTGTCTGAGTGGAAGGTGTACAGCATAAGGTTACGAATTTGCCGTGGACCTTGTCCTTTTCGGGCAGATGTGCCTAAGCTAGGTGATTACAAAGTGATGGGGTATCAGTGGTGCTAACTCTTTTTGCATATTTGCAACGCCAGCGCAAAAACGCGCTTCAATGATGAGTTTCTGTGCGACGCGGACTGCGGCGCGTACTGAGCCGACGGTGACGGGCGGCGGGCCGGTCCTCTCCGTGCAGGGTTACGGTATACGGTAGGGGGTCAAAATCATAGATTTTCCTGAAACTTGGCCCAGAGGGGTTATTCGGCCCGCTGATGCTAAATATCACATTGGTTTTGAACTGTAGCGCCACTTTCTTGGATTACGGTAGCTACACGGTAACTGGTGTAAAGCGTAGTTCTGCCTGAAACGGGTGTACGGCGATTCGGACGATCGTGAAGCTTTGCACACACGACCACAGCCGTGCGCTACACACCCTGCTGCGGCTTTTGCCTAAGCAAAACACAGGGGGAAGATACATTTGCCGATTTGTAATTTCGACCCCTACCGTAACTATGCAGGGAGACGTTTTCGTGCGGATTTTTGGTGCAACCACCAGAGTTGTTTGCTATGTTTTTTCCTGATATTACAATATTTTGAAAGATGTATCGGGCCGCGGTCAGCCCCAAGCGTAAATCTGGAGGACCACAAACGTATGCGAAGCCTAGACCTGTTTTTCCACCATGTCTCACTGGGTATGTTTGTTATCTGGTTTTGTTACCTCTAATAGCTTCGTGTTCAGTAGAGAGAATTCTTTTGTGGAAAATATTGTCGAAGACGAAGGGGCACCCTCAGATATCCAGATGGAATTAAAGTTCCACAAGGTTCATAGCATTTGCTTTTTTTCCTTTCTGTTATGTTTCCTAGACTTTGTTTTTCCAGGTAACGTGTACAAAAGAAGCGAATTTCATGTTGAAACTCCTCTACGAGGAGTTCAGCCTCTTCCGTTGCCTAGAGCACTTCATGAATGTGTTGAGAACGGAATCTTGCACAGTGACAGGGCAGCCCGTTTAAAATTTTATCGAAGATGCATCGCCAAGAGTTTAACGAAGCGGTCTACTACGTAAGTACGAGTACATTGATTTTGATAAAAACATACAAATTCATTCTAGGAGTTTATCAGATCCGATATCGTACTACGCGCTAAAGTCACTTACGGCAGTTTGAATCGCATGGTAGGATCGGACATCCACTCGCTATGGCATATTGCTAATCGCATGACAGTACGGCTGCACATTCTGGGATGTCATATATGCGTTGACTTGCTCAACCTGATTTAGGCCGAGATTTCGAGAGCTGTAACAGTAAAAAGTGTTCGACGAATTGAAAGCAGCGAACAATCGACGCCAACACGTGACTTGTGCGTACCAGGACGTGACGCCTGCATATCTGTGGACAACTGTGTCAAGATTTGGCAAATTCAGGAGTTAGTTGTTATTGTTGTTTTATGATTGTTGCCTGTTGTGTTCTGCTTTTGATTCTGTATTATGTCGTTCTGTAAGTCTTCGGATAATAAATCTGCCATCATCATACCTGTATACATGTTTAATAAATCTGACGATATGAGGTCGTATTTCAAAAACAAAATATGAATTTTATCAAGGGATTGCTATCTGTATCACAATAGGGTCCTAAAACGCTTTCGAAGGAGCGGGCGAGCGGCGCGCCTTCAGCGAGCGAGCCGCGTACCTTCATTCCACGGGCGGCGGGAGGCATGAGCGCTCGCACGCTCAAGGCGCGCGGGCCGTCGGAAAAAGTGTCTGAGTGCTTACCCCTCTTGATCCGCTTGATCCGCTTGCTCCGCTTCTTGCAGGACGCGTGCAAAACGCGCGCACACAGCAGTCTGTCATTTGGCGCCGCGTAGGTAAAAAGGAGTTTCGTATGGTTAAGCAAATTCGCTGTACGCGGCGCCAAATGACGACTGCTGAGTGCGCGCGTTTTGCACGAAGCGGATCAAGCGGATTAAGCGGATCAAGTGGATTAAGCGGATCAAGAGGATCAATATGGCGGGTGCCAGACAGGGCTTATCAAACACAGTGTCGCTTGCCAAGCGGCGCGAATCGTTGCGAAGCGGATTATAGTAAGTTCCAACTCAATTTAGGCGAAAATTGGGCTGGCGGGAGTCCGCTTCGCAACGATTCGCGCCGCTATGCAGTCTGCGTCTTCATCTTAATCTATCTTGCAGAGCCAGTGGCGGTGCGTACGCGTTGCTCCACTTGGACGCACCTTCATTCGAAAAAAATTTTTGTCGCGCCCCCCCCCCCCCCCCGAGCCAAAATCCTGGGTACGCCACTGGCACGACTTTCGACTCCTCTCATCTTCTTGCTCTAAATCCATGAAAAAGGGTCGGATTCACTTCATGAGATAATCACAACAAAGTTTTGTGCTACATAATGCATAGCAACATTAAGTTTTTGGTGAACCTTGAGCCGAGAAATCTTGATTCAAGCTAAACGGATCGCTGAAGTCCATCTATGCTGAAAAATTCAAGCGAAGGACAATTGCCGAGCTTCTGCTCTGAGAGCAAGTTAAGCTCTCCCAAATTAGACTCAGTAATTGAGACTTTTGGGGACGTCGAAAGCCAGCAGATAGGGCAGATCTTTCCAACCTAAGTCTCACCTTTTCTTTAAAATTTAGTTAAAACTTTTGAGTTTTGGAAAAATCGCATAACTTGTTATTGACCCAAACACTGCAAAATCCTTAGGATTACTGGGGTTTCAACGCTCGACTATTAAAGGCAGCGTACAGGCAGATCTGGACCTATGGGGCTTTCACGTAAAAAGTACTTTTGGGGCCCTAACTAAGGCACTGCCCAAGCGGCAGCTCAGATAGTGCTCTAATGGCTGAGATATCCTCCTCGAAACTGGCCCCCGCGAACGTATTCGCATGGATTCATGGCAGTTTCGCGCCAGGATCCACGCTTTGCGCCATGAATCCATGCGAAATACGGTCGCGGGGTCCAGTTTCGAGGGGAATATCTCAGCCATTAGGGCACTACCTAAGCTGCCGGTTGGGCAGTGGCTTAGTTAGGGCCCCAAAAGTACTTTCCACGTAAAATCCCCATAGGTCCAGACTTGCCTGGACGCTGCCTTTAACATTACTAACCTTACAAAGTAGATAGGCC